AGGTAACTGAGGTAACTGATTGTTTTCTTTGGATCTCCATTCTGCTGTTGAGATCATCCAGTGAGGTTTTTAATTTCATTTATTGTATTTTTTGGTTCTAAAATTTTCATTTTGTTCTTCCTCATACCTTTTATTTCTTTGCTGAGAATTTGTATATTTCTACTTGTTTCAAGACTATTTACAGCTGCTTGTGGCAACACTTTTAGTTAGCTACTTTAAATCCTTGACAAATAATTCCAACATCTGATTCATCTGAGTTTTGCTATCTGTTGATGCTCTTTTCTCATTTGAGTTGAGATTTTCTTGGTTCTTAAGATGATGAATAATTTTGGCTTTATTTAGGACATTCTAAATATCATGTTATGAGATTCTGTTTTCTCTTTAAATTCTCTATTTTAGCAGTTGTCAACACATTTAGGTTTAGAGTACGTGTCTTGGTCTATTTTTATGGGCTGTAGTTCAAATTCAACTTAAGTATTGAAAGTCTTTGCAGTTCTACTTTGGTCTCCCTCATTTTTGTGCAACCCAGAAGGCAATTTGAAACCTGGACAGTATCCCATACCCTAGTTCAGCCCTGAAAGCTTTTTCTATGTTGATTCTGATTGATTTTATACATGGGCTGCTCATAGGTATGCCCAGGGCATCATACACATCTTTAAAGAACCCCTTTTTATAACTTTCTCCATAGTCCATCCTCCACTCTCTATTGGAAGGAGAAGGTAGGTACTTCTTTGCTGTCATTCACTTAATTTGGGGTAGGGTTAGCCAATACAGTCTATATAATGCCTGCTGGAGAGGCAAGAGGGGTGCTACCTCTCTTTGAGCTAATGCAGTTGGGATGGTTGAGAGAGCTCCACCCCACCATCTTGGAGTCACATTGTTTGGTGAAGAAGGCAAAGGATGCATCTTTTGTAGTTTTCACCTCGAGTATACTGTTGTGCAGTAAAGAATTAACTTTGCCTAAAGAGAGGTTTGGCTTTTGCACTCAGCTCCTGGGAGGTAACCTCTAAATCTTTAGAATGTCTTGCTTGGGCCATGCAAGATGGTATATAATGACAATGTGATTACAGTGGGAGCTTTGGGCCACACTGAATATTCTATGCCAACATGTGGTTTATAGTGGGGTACCTTGGCCATGCAATATCAGCTCCAAAGGGGCTGGAGACTAAGATCAGCCACAATGGGAGTCATTCATGTCCACATGATCACGTCTCAGTAAAAACTCTGGACATCAAGATTCAAGTGAACTTCCCCAGTTGGCAATACTCCATGCATATTATCATCACACATCATCGCTGGGAGAAGTAAGTGCTGTCCATATGACTCCACTGGGAGAAAACCACTGGAAGCTCACACCTGGAACTCTCTTTGACCCTGTGTTAAGCACATCTTTCCTTGGCTGATTTTGATCTGTATCCTTTCATTGTAAAGCCACTGTATAACACCATAGCCATGAGTATAATGGCTTTTCTAATTTCTGTGAGTTCTTCCAGCGAATTATGGAAACTGAGGGTGGTCTTGGGACCCCTGACTTGGAACTGGTGTCAGAAGTACGGGTGATCCTGGGAAATCCCCCTGCTTTCAGTAGGTGTCAGAAGTGAGGGTGTTCTTGGGTACTTCTGAACTTTGCAGGTATGTGTAGTCAAAAGGGCCCATCCTGTAGTGCTGCCCTATTTCAGATTATTTGACTGGAAAATGTATGCTTTGGGGAGGCCTTTTTTGTCTGTACTCACTGGTTCTTCCAGGCTGCAAGCTCCTCTAGTGCTCATTTTGCAGTACATAGGAGCTCCCTCTCTCCCTCTAAGCAGTCCTAGGGAACTCACTACTGTGTTGTTTTTTAAGTCCTTAGGTTCTACTTTCTTTTCTCCACCAGTTAGTCTTCTGATAGATGCTTTATGTATTTTTCTAGATTTTAGGTAATTAGCAGGAGGAATGGGGTGGAATGCACTCTTTTTTTGTTTTGTTTTGTTTTTTAGAACCAGAAGTTTCAATCCTTGCTTTTAACTTGAATGTTTAAGGCATTTACACTTAATGTAATTACTAATGTACTTGAATTTATATATACTACCTTACTATTAGTTTTTATTTTTTAGTTTTTATTCATTTATTTATTTTTTTGAGATGGAGTCTCACTCTGTTGCCCAGGCTGGAGTGCAGTGGTGCAATCTTGGCTCACTGCAAGCTCTGCCTCCCGGGTTCACACCATTCTCCTGCCCCAGCCTCCCGAGTAGTTGGAACTCCAGGCGCCCACCACCACACCCGGCTAATTTTTTTGTATTTTTAGTAGAGACGGGGTTTCACCGTGTTAGCCAGGATGGTCTCGATCTACTGACCTCGTGATCCACCTGCCTCAGCCTCCCAAAGTGCTGAGATTACAGGCGTGAGCCTCCACGCCCAGCCTTTTTGATTTGAACTACCTATTTTTTCATTGCTTTCTTGACTTTTTATATTACATAATTTTTTACTCTTTAATTTTTTCCTTTGTTTACTTGTTATAATTCTTTTACTATTTATTTGTTACCCTAGATATTAAAACATCCATCTTGAACTTACTATTTTATCTCCTTAATAATGCTAGGATACTAAAACATTTTAATTCTATTTGCTGCCTCCCACTTTTGCATTATTATTTCCATGAATTTAAATTCTGCATATATTTTAAACCTCCCAGAGAATAGTACTGTTATTGTTTTGCATAGTCAATATTTGCAGTTTTGTAAAGAGGTATTTGAAGAGCTTCTTGAATCCTAAGGGTTGATGTTATTCATAGCCATTACTTTCTTCAAATATTACTTCTTCCCTGCACTCTCCTCTTTAACTTCTCAGACTCTGATAGGTTATACCTTTTTACTATGTCACAAATATTCCTAATGCTCCTGTGGTTTTTTTCTTTAAAAAAAAATCTCTGCTTCAGTTTGGATATTTTCTATTTACTTCTCTTCCATTTCAGAAATTCTGTATTTTGCTGTTAAACCTGTATAAGAACTTCTTAATTTTAGATATTAGATTTTTCAGTTTTTGAATTTCCATTTGATTCTTTATTATAAAAACCAATTCTCTAAAGATAGTCATCTTTTCATCTAATTCCCGTTCTCTGTGTGACTGTTTCTATTGAATTTTTTCCTTCTCTGATTTTGGATATGTGGTCCTATCTTTTTGTTTGTTTGTTTGTTTGTTTTAAACACCGTGTATAAAAAGTTGTAGGCAAGGCTCATACCTGGGAGACTGAAGCAGGCGGATCACTTGAGCTCAAGAGTTCCAGACCAGCCTGGGCAACATGGCAAAACCCATCTCTACAAAAGATAGAGAAATTAGCTGGGCATGGTAGCATAAGCTTGTAGTTCCAGATACTTGCAGGGCTGAGACAGGAGGATTGCTTGAGCCCAGGTCGAGGCTGCAGCGAGCCGTGTTTGTGCCACTGCACTTCAGCCTGGATGACAGAGCAAGACCCTGTCTAAGAAGAAAAAAAAGAAGAAAAGTTGAACAGGATCTGGATGGTGTTATCTTTCTCCACAGAGGATTCGTCTTTCCTTATGTCAGCAAAAGGAGGGAAGGGAGAACATGTACATCCAGTCAGGGACAGTGTTGAATCAAGGCTGGGTTGAAGCTCTGCTAAGACTCAGTTTACCTCTGGATAACCTTGGCTACTGAGAATCTTCAGCTGAGAGTCCTTTTGTCCTCTAAAGACCCTCCTCCTGATAGATGCCCAACTATTTTCTTAACAGATACCAGACTTTTGCTTTGCTCTTCAAAGGCTGTTTGCTTACAGTTTTAGTCTTCTGCCCTATATACCCTAGAATTCAGTAAATATCCTGAGGGGAAAATGGCCATGTGTTTGAGTTATGTTAGTTTCTGTGTTAACCAGCTGCAGCCTTCCACTGCATTCTCCAGTAGACAGGACAAAACGAGAATCCAGCTTTTGTCCACACCCAGAATTGGTAAATGCTCCCACTGTCCAAGTGACTGAATAAGTCAGCTTCAATCTTCAGTATTCTCTCCTCTCCAGTCTTAGCCCCTATATTTCTTGTTACCTCAGCAGCTTTCCAGTGCTTTGAAACAGATGATTTCAAGTATTGCATCTGGCATTTACAGTTCATTCTTGAAAGAAGCACTGGACTGCCAAGCTATTGCATCCCATCTGGAAATGGCAGTGCCAAAAAAGAGCCCTCCCCTTCATACACCACACAGTTTACCATTTAAAGTGTACCATGTATTGATTTTTAGTATATTCACTCAGTTATACAACCATCAGTATAGTCAATTTTAGACATTTTCTTTATCATCCTGATGGGTGTGAGGTAGTATTTGTAGTTTTAATTTGCATGTCCCTACTGATTAATGATGTTGAGCATCTTTTCATATGCTTGTTGACTATGTGTATATCTTCCTTGTAGAAATGTCTATTTAAGCTTTTTACCCATTTTTAAAATTATGTTGTTCATTGTCGTTGAGTTGTAGAGGTTCTTTATAGTATATTGTATATCACATACACTATGGAATACTTTGCAGCCATAAAAAAGGATGAGTTCATGTCCTTTGTAGGGATATAGATGAAGCTGGAAACCATCATTTTCAGCAAACTGTCACAGGGACAAAAAACCAAACACCACATGTTCTCACTCATAGGTGGGAATTGAACAATGAGATCACTTGGACACAGGAAGGGGAACATCACAGACCAGGGCCTGTTGTGGGGTGGGGGGAGTGGGGAGGGATAGCATTAGGAGATATACCTAATGTAAATGATGAGTTAATGGGTGCAGCACACCAACATGGCACATGTATACATGTGTAACAAACCTGCATGTTGTGCATATGTACCCTAGAACTTAAAGTATAATTTTAAAAAAATAGTTAAACTAAGCTAAATGTAGAATAAAAGATATTCTAGACCTGCTCTAAAAATAAAAAAAATAAAAAATAAGGTCCTGCCTTGTTTCCATTCTGTAATCTTGATCCTTCACATTGAAAGGGTTTTTTTTTTTTTTTTTTCCCCACAGGAATCAGTGTCATTCAAGGACGTAACTGTAGACTTCAGTAGGGATGAGTGGCAACAATTAGACCTTGCTCAGAAAAGCCTGTACAGAGAAGTGATGCTGGAAAACTATTTCAACTTGATCTCAGTGGGTAAGCGCAGCTCTGCTGGGTACACAGTAGACAGCACCTAATTGAGTATATATTTTTTTCTCAGTAGAATTGCTAAAGTCTGTGTTTTCTGAGGTATGTGGGACTTCTAAAGACTGCAGGACATCTAAAGTGTGTAATGGTTTTGTCCTTATTTTGTCCCATGTTCTTAATAATCTCTTTTGGGTCGTGTGAATATTCCTCTGTTCCCAGTGAACTTTTTTGGAAAACAAATGGAATGCTTCATTGTATGGCCTCTGAAACCAAGTCCTCTATCATCTCCTGTTAACAGGATGTCAAGTTCCCAAACCAGAAGTCATCTTCAGCTTGGAACAAGAAGAGCCATGTATGTTGGATGGTGAGATCTCCGGTCAGAGCCATCCAGGTGAGAAGGGAACCAAGAGCATGGCAGACAGTATGACTCAGCTGTATTTGTACTGGGAGAGGCTGTGCACAACTTTGCACAACTTTGCTGTGTCATTAATATGACTTTTAGAACTGCTTGGATAGAGCAGTTATTAGACAAGGACCCTTGGATATCTAAATGCTAACCCCACTTAAGATCCCTTCTCATATCAATGCCTTCTTCTTTGCTTGGCTTTTTAGGAGGAAATGTGCTACAATTACTGGTTATTTGGATCATGTCACACCCTACTTTCTAGGGTCCTGCTTTCTTGCTTTTTTCTCTCTTTCCCTAGAAAAGTTTTATTCTTTCTACCTCCATCAGGGTCTTAGATCGTTTCCTTATGCATTCAAATACTTATAGGTCTACCTTCTTAAAAAATTACTGTGCATTACAACTTCAGTTCCTGCTGTTTCTTCTCATTTTGTCTCTTTCCCCTAAGTACCTCAGAATTGTCATCTAGAGATGGGCTTATCTGAAGTCCCCCCATGCCTCTTCTCTAACTGTTGATTTTGAGGGTACCATTGACATTTTATTCCTACTTGGCTAGTGCAACACAACACCGACTTGATCTTTCTAATTTATTTATTTTCATATCTTACAAAAAGTTTTTTTAATCTCATGTACAGGTATATCCTGTACAGAAGATTGAGTTAATAATTATAGCCTTAGTTTTTAGTCAATATCATCATCAGTGTGTTTAAGGCTCTCCTCTTATTTTATTTATTCTTTTTAATCCTCAGTCTCCATACTCATTTTTATCCTTCCAAGAGGCAACTGTTCTAATATATTTAACATGTTTTGCCATTTATGCTTAAATTTGTGGGATATTTGTAAAATCTGAGTTGTTAGCATTGTTAATTTGTAGAAATGGTAGGTACTATATTATATATCCTACTCAGTTTTTTTTTCTCAAATTGGTCCATGTTGCAATGCATTTTTCTAATTTCTACATATCGTTCTGTAGTGCACATATATACCACATTTTACTTGTCCAGTTTTTCAGCTACTACAAACAGTACCGCAATACGTTTCTTCATGAATTATTCTTATTGGAAATGAGAATTTCTTTTTTTTTTCCTTTTTTTTTTTTTTTTCTGAGATGGAGTCTTACTCTGACCCCCAGGCTGGAGTGCAGTGGCGCAATCTCGGCTCACTGCAAGCTCCGCCTCCCGGGTTCATACCATTCTCCTGCCTTAGCCTCCTGAGTAGCTGGGACTACAGGCGCCGCCACCACGCCTGGCTAATTTTTTGTATTTTTAGTAGAGATGGGGTTTCACCGTGTTCACCAGGATGGTCTCGATCTACTGACCTCGTGATCCGCCCGCCTCGGCCTCCCAAAGTGCTGGGATTACAGGCGTGAGCCACCGCGTCCGGCCAGAAATGAGGCTTTCTTAAGGAAGAGGAGTGGGATTGCTTTATCATTGGGCATACTAATACTTAATATGATGAGGTATAAGCACATTATTTTCCAGATTGGCTGTGTCACTCTATAGTCCCTGGAACTTTGTACAAGGGTATTAGGTTTCCCACATCCCTATCCATACCTAGTGTTATCCAAATTTTTAATAATTTGGCTAATCTGATGGGTTTTAATTTCTAATTATTATTTAATTTATATTTCCTAATAAAATACTTTGAACATCTCATTCTGTATCCTTCATTTTTGATGTTCAACTGCTGACATTTTCTTTTTTTTTTTTTTTTAATACAGAGTCTCGCTCTGTTGCCCAGCCTGTTGTGCAGTGGTGCAGTCTCGGCTCACTGCAAGCTCTGCCTCCTGGGTGCACGCCATTCTCCTGCCTCAGCCTCCCGAGTCCCTCCTGGGACTACAGGCGCCCGCCACCACGCCCGGCTAATTTTTTGTATTTTTAGTAGAGACGGAGTTTCACCGTGTTAGCCAGGATGGTCTCGATCTCCTGACCTTGTGATTCGCCCCCCTCGGCCTCCCAAAGTGCTGGGATTACAGGCGTGAGCCACCGCACCCAGCCTCAACTGCTGACATTTTCTAAGCCTCACCCCTCTCTCTTTTTTTCTCCCCACACCTGGACAAACTGAGAAAAAAAGCCCATGTATTCTCTCCATTGGTGCTGGGAAATTCCAACTACATAAGGGAATCGTTAGCCTAGCCCCACCACCCCTGCTATAAACCCTAAGACAGTCCTTTCCTTGCTCACTCTAGCCCCATCTGGACCTGCTTGGAGCTGTCCCCAGAAAGCCTCATTATGTGAGTAATGAGTCTTTTTATACCCTCTTATTGTGTGTGTCTCATCATCACTCTTGACATCTGAACCAAGTTTGGGATGGGGTCCATTTCTCCTTGCAGGTCATTTACAGCTGGGGCAGTGAGCAGGATGTCAAGGCAATGATCACCCCCACAGTGGTCTTTCTTCTCTTCCCAACTGGTTATACTACCTGCTGGCAAGTATGCACTTTGCCTCTGTCCTATACATAACTAACCTACATTAGAAGTTATCATGGACATTTAGAGGCAGGTGTAAGGACTTTGGGTCCTCCTTAAAGTTGCCCAGGGCCATGTGTCTCAGCCCAGACCTATCTATGTCTCAGATTATGTGTCTCAGCTGCAGCATAAGCTCTGAGTGATAACTGGCTCATGGGAACAACTTTTACTCTAAAACTGTTATTTGTGTGTCTCAGTCAGGCGTTGGCCCTGTTGTATACAGCACTCAGGGGAAAGACCAATACTGTCTGCATATAAGGGTCTGGCTGTTTGTGTGAAGGAAGACAAGATACAATGTACCATGCCAAAAGCAGGTGGCTTGCCTTTCAAAATGTTGGCATCTTCTCTTGGGTTTTTTACTTTTCCCTCTAATCTATCTTCTCAGATAATTCAAAATATCAACTTGGAGTTTTTTACTTTTCCCTCTAATCCGTCTCTCAGATAATTGATTCTGCTTTTCTAGTTATTTTTCTCATTTAGAAAAGCCTCTTTCTTACCTCCCAGTCATATCACCTACAACCATGTCTATATTTTCTCATGTCTCAATTATTCTAATCCTATTTGTGATAATCCCATTTTTTCTTTTTCACTATTTCATCTCAGATGCTGCTGATAGATTTCACTACTTAAAACATTGTGTGCTGTGTTTATCCTGTCACAGCTACATGGAACAAAACTAAAGTTACTACTTAATATCTAACATGTGACAGATTCTCCTCTCAGTAGGTTTGTAAGCTAGAGAAAGAATATGGCCTCCTATCTGCAATTCACATTTGTGCCTGTTTTCCATAACCATTTCTACCCCATGCTATTCTTTCATTCTCCCTCTTCATTGAGCCCTTTGATTATTATGTTATCTATCTGCATATTCAAATAATACACGTATTTTGGCTGGGCACAGTGGTTCATGCCTGTAATCCCAGCACTTTGGGAGGCCGAGGTGGGTGGACCACCTGAGGTCAGGAGTTTGAGACCAATATGGCCAACATGGCGAAACCCCATCTCTACTAAAAGTGCGAAAATTAGCCAGGCGAGGTGGCAGGTGCCTATAATCCCAGCTACTCAGGAGGCTGAGGCAGGAGAATCACTTGAACCCGGGAGATGGAGGTTGCAGTGAGCCGAGATGACGCCACTGCACTCCAGCCTGGGTGACAAGAACGACACTCCGTCTCAAAAAACAAAGCAAAAAAAGGCTTGGCGTGGGGGCTCATGCCTGTAATCCCAGCACTTTGGGAGGCCCAGGCAGGCGGATCACAAGGTCAGGAGATTGAGACCATCCTGGCTACATGGTGAAACCCCGTCTCTACTAAAAATATAAAAAAAGAAAAAAAAATTAGCCGGACATAGTGGCAGGCGCCTGAAGTCCCAGCTACTCAGGAGGCTGAGGCAGGAGAATGGCGTGAACCCGGGAGGCGGAGCTTGCAGTGAGCTGAGAGCCCGCCACTGCACTCCAGCCTGGGTGACAGAGTGAGACTCCATCTCAATAATAATAATAATAATACACATATTTTGTGCTCAGCTTTCACTTACTCCTTGAATTGGACCTATTCAGAGAAACCTACATTAAATTATGTGATAACTGAGTATTTTACCCTTGTACATTAAAAAGCAAAGTTTCTGTACAAAATAGTGAAATTAAACTCCTGAATTTGTGTTATAAGAAGAGGAGGTCGTTTTGCTCTATTTCAGAAAGACTTTAAAATTTTTCTTCTAGGAGCAATTCAAAGGGCTAGAAAAACTAATTCGAAAGAGAGGGTAACTGCATGAAATCTTGAAAATTTCAATCTTTGTGCATTACACATTTGTTAACATGCACATCTATGCCAATTCAAATATAAATATGAGCGGTTCAAAGTATCTTTTTGTTGTTTATTTTTAAGTTAAAAGAGAGCCTCTCTGGAGTTGTGGTGAAATTTGAAATTAGCGTTTAAAGCAGAGAACCCCAAATGATTAATGAAGAACAATGAATTTTGAATAGAAACAAAAGATCAGAAAAAGGAAGCTTAAATGGAGAAAATGAAAAGACTGTATGTCTGGGTTCATTGATAAAATAGACTGCAGTGACTAATGGAAAGATGTGTGTTAGTCCCTTTTCTGTGGCCATAACACTGGGCAACTCTGTTTCCATGACTGTTCAGGAGGAAAGTTTCTAGAAAGTCATTGTACCACCATCCCCTAGGGCAAGGGCTGACAATTTTTTGTAAAGGCACAAAAGTGAATAGGCTCTGTGGACCATATGGCTGCTGTCACAACGACTCATTTCTGCAGTTGTAGCCCCAAAGCAGCTATAGACAATGCATCAATGAATGGGTGTGGCTGTGTTTCAATAAAAACTTTATGGACACTGAAATTTGAATTTCATATAATTTTCACATGTTATGAAGTAGTATTCTTCTTTCGATTAATTTTTTGACCATTTAAAAATGTAAAAGCCATTGTTAGCTTTTGGGTAGAGGCCTGGATTTGGCCCAAGGGCTTCACTGTTCCGACCTCTGCCCTAGGACATTGCCAGCTTCATAGAACTGGGTGCTGCCAAGTGAGAATATACTGGTGGGAAAAGAAGAGGTTTGTGGGAGACAAACCCACTTTCTTAAGACATTGGCCTTATCACTCCCACTGATTAGTGAAAAAGAGTTACTCAGTCCCACCTAGTGACAAATGAAGCTGGACAAACCTAGTATTGTGAGGCAGCCATGTGCTTGGCTACAAGCTTAATATTGTGAAGGAAAGGCACAGGTTTGATGAACAGCTTTCAGTCTCCTCCTCTGATGTCTGGTTCTTTCCTGTTATGTCTTCTACCAGATGCATTTATCACATCAGTACCCCAAACCAGGGATGAGGAATTCAACTATAGACCAGACACGGTGGCTCATACCTGTAAACCCAGCACCTTGGGAGGCTGAGGTGGGCAGATCACTTGAGGTCAGGAGTTTGAGACCACCCTGGCCAACATGGTGAAACCCCAGCTCTACCAAAAATACAAAAATTTGTGTTTTTACAAATACATGTATGGTGGCACATGCCTGTAGTCCCAGCTACTCATGTGGCTAAGGCAGGAGAATTGCTTGAACCCGGAAGGTGGAGGTTGCAGTGAGCTGAGATCTTGCCATTGCACTCCAGCCACTCCAGCCTGGGTGATAGAGTGAGACTCCACCTCAAAAGAAAATAGACCAATTGTTACATAGAGTTGATTCAAGGCAAACACAGAGAAATGAGAGAGGCTATATAAATCTAACAAATGTATATAAATTTTACTGTTTGGCCAAGTTAGGATTACTAAGATATTGTAATTTTACTATAAACATAAACACATTGGTATTTAGGGCACAGTGGATCATAGGGAAAAGAGAAAACAGGAAGATTGTGAGGATTTACGGATTAAGGATAAGAATCTAGACTCAGAAATACTTCTTTTCACAGAGTTTGTCACTTCATTCTCCTGACACCTCACTCACCATGTAGTTCTACTACATTTGCACTGAATTGGAATCTCTTCTTCCCCAGTTACTAAACATTTGATTTGGGCAAATTACTAAACTCTTCTATGGCTTAGTGTCCTCATCTGTAAACTAGAAACAATAATAATACCAACAGCAAAGGGTTGCGATAAAGTGCTTTTTGTTTTTGTTTTTAAGAGACAGGGTCTCGGCTTGGCCTGCTGGCTCACGCCTGTAATCCCAACACTTTGGGAGGCCGAGGTGGACAGATACTTGAGGTCAGGAGTTCAAGACCAGCCTGGCCAACATGGTGAATCCCTGTCTCTACTAAAAATACAAAAATTAGCCAGGCCTGGTGGCACGTGCCTATAGTTCCAGCCACTCATGAGGCTGAGGCATGAGAATCCCTTGAACTCAGGAAGTGGAGGTTGCAGTGAGCTCCGATCACGCCATTACACTCTAGCCTGAGCAACAGAGTGAGACTCTGTCTTAAAAAAGAAAAAAAAAAAAAGAGAGAGAGAGACAGGGTCCCACTCTGTCACCCAGGCTGGAGTGTAATGGTGCAATCAGAGCTCACTGCAGCTTCAAACACCGGGGCTCAAGTGATCCTCCTGCTTCAGCCTCCTGAGTAGCTGGGACTATAGGCATGTGTCACTAGGTCCACCTAATTTTTTTTTTTTTTCTGTAGAGATGGGGGTCTCACTATGTTGCCCAGGCAGGTCTCAAACTCCTGCGCTCAAGCAGTCCTTTCATCTCAGCCTCCTACAGTGCTGGGATTACAGGCATGAACCACCACACCTGGCTATGATAAAGTATAAGTGAATTAATATAGAACTTAGAACAGCACATCTAAATGATATTGTTTATCATGTCATAAATGTAATGTATTAATGTTATTACTCTACATCATTGTATTACATATTATATACAAATGAGTTATTATACCTATATATTTATATATATTTAAAATACTTATGTACATTTGTTATATTTATATCGCCTCTCTCATTTCTCTGTGTTTGCCTTGAATCAACTGTTTTTGGGTTTTTTTGGGTTTTTTTTGCAGGTGGAGTTTCACTCTTGTTGCCCAGGCTGGAGTGCAATGGCGAGATCTCGGCTCGCCGCACCCTCTGCCTCCTGGGTTCAAGTGATTCTCCTGCCTTGGCCTCCCAAGTAGCTGGGATTACAGGCATGCACCACCACGCCTGGCTAATTTTGTATTTTTAGTAGAGATGGGGTTTCTCCATGTTGGTCAGGCTGGTCTCAAACTCCCGACCTCAGGTAATCTGCCTGCTTTGGCCTCCCAAAGTGCTGGGATTACAGGCGTGAGCCACCGCACCTGGCCTGAATCAAAGGTCTATTGTATTTTTATTTATTTATTCATTTATTTTGGAGACAGAGTCTTGCTCTGTCACCCAGAGTAGAGTGCAGTGGTGCAATTTCAGCTCACTGCAACCTCTGCCTTCAAGCCATTATCTTGCCTCAGCCACTTGAGCAGCTGGAATTACAGGCATGTGCCACCATGCTTGGCTAATTTTTACTAGAGACAATATTTTTAGTGTTTTTAGCAGAGACAGAGTTTTGCTATGTTGGCCAGGCTGGTCTCAAACTCCTGGCCTCAAGTGATCTGCCCACCTCAGCCTCCCAAAGTGCTGGGATTACAGGCATGAGCAACCGCACCTGGCCTTATTTTCTGTTCATTGTTCTTTTTGTCAGTCTTATCTTTTCTTTCTTTTTTAGATGGGGACATTGGTTTTGGACCTTTACAACAGAGAATGTCTGACGAAATTTCTTTCCAGTCTGAGATTAATATTAATCTCTTCAAAAGAGATGACCCATATTCCATTTTAGAAGAAGTGTGGAAAGATGATGAACACACAAGAAAATGTGGAGAAAACCAGAACAAACTTTTAAGTCATGTTGCCTTCATTAACAACAAAACACTAGCTAACGACAGGGTCTGTGAATATAAGGACATTGGGGAAATAGTTCATGTAAACACACACCTGGTTTCCTCAAGAAAAAGACTTCATAACTGTAACTCATTTGGAAAGAATTTGGAGCCTATTGTAACCTTATATAATAGAAACAATGCAACAGAAAATTCTGATAAGACTATTGGAGATGGTGATATTTTCACTCATATGAATTCTCATACAGAAGTGACGGCTTGTGAATGTAATCAGTGTAGGAAATCTCTGCATCATAAGCAAGCTCTCATTCAACATCAGAAAATTCATACTAGAGAGCGCCTCTATTTGTTTTCTGACTATGTAAATGTTTTCTCCCCGAAGTCACATGCCTTTGCACATGAGAGCATTTGTACTGAAGAAAAGCAGCATGAATGCCATGAACGTGAGGCAGTCTTCACTCAGAAGTCCCAGCTTGATGGCCGTCAGAGGGTTTATGCAGGAATATGCACTGAATATGAGAAGGATTTTTCCCTCAAGTCAAACCATCAGAAAACTCCTGAGGGGAATTACTATAAATGCAGTGACTATGGAAGAGCCTTTATCCAGAAGTCAGATCTGTTCAGATGCCAGAGAATTCATTCTGGAGAAAAACCCTATGAGTACAGTGAATGTGAGAAAAACCTCTCTCAGAATTCAAACCTTAATATACATAAAAAAATTCATACTAGAGAGAAACACTTTGAATGTACTGAATGTGGAAAAGCTTTCACAAGGAAATCAACACTAAGTATGCATCAGAAAATCCATACAGGAGAAAAACCTTATGTATGTACTGAATGTGGGAAGGCCTTTATCCGGAAGTCACATTTTATCACACATGAAAGAATTCATACTGGAGAAAAACCCTATGAATGCAGTGACTGTGGAAAATCCTTTATTAAAAAATCACAACTCCATGTGCATCAGCGAATTCACACAGGAGAGAATCCCTTTATATGTTCAGAATGTGGGAAGGTCTTCACTCACAAGACAAATCTCATTATACACCAGAAAATCCACACAGGAGAAAGACCCTATATATGTACTGTATGTGGTAAGGCCTTTACTGACAGGTCAAATCTCATTAAGCACCAAAAAATTCATACTGGAGAGAAACCTTATAAATGCAGCGACTGTGGAAAATCATTCACCTGGAAGTCACGGCTCAGGATACATCAGAAGTGTCATACTGGAGAGAGACATTATGAATGCAGTGAATGTGGGAAAGCCTTCATTCAGAAGTCAACACTAAGTATGCACCAGAGAATTCATAGAGGGGAAAAACCATATGTTTGCACTGAATGTGGTAAGGCCTTCTTCCACAAATCCCATTTTATTACACATGAGAGAATTCATACTGGAGAGAAACCCTATGAATGCAGTATTTGTGGGAAATCCTTCACTAAGAAATCACAACTCCATGTACATCAGCAGATTCACACAGGAGAGAAACCCTATAGATGTGCTGAGTGTGGAAAGGCTTTTACTGACAGATCAAATCTTTTTACACACCAGAAAATTCACACTGGAGAGAAACCTTATAAATGTAGTGATTGTGGGAAAGCCTTCACTCGGAAGTCCGGTCTCCACATACATCAGCAATCCCATACTGGAGAAAGGCATTATGAGTGCAGTGAATGTGGGAAAGCCTTTGCAAGAAAATCAACACTAATTATGCATCAGAGAATTCATACTGGAGAGAAACCCTATATTTGTACTGAATGTGGGAAATCCTTCATCCAGAAGTCACACTTAAATAGACACAGGAGAATTCATACTGGAGAGAAACCCTATGAATGCAGTGACTGTGGGAAGTCTTTCATTAAGAAATCACAACTCCATGAGCATCATCGAATTCACACAGGAGAGAAACCATATATATGTGCTGAGTGTGGAAAGGCCTTCACCATCAGATCAAATCTTATTAAACACCAGAAAATTCATACTAAACAGAAACCCTATAAGTGCAGTGACTTGAGGAAAGCCTTAAACTGGAAGCCACAACTCAGTATGCCTCAGAAATCTGACACTGGCGAGGTAGAGTGCTCAATGCTACAATTATGGTGTGGGGACTCAGGAGGTGACCAAGGTCAACTTTCTTCTGTCTAGTTAGAATTATGAACATCTGGATCATACAGCCGATGTGCAGTTATGCATATGGGGAGACACTTTTGAGAGTGTTTAAGCATTGTATAGTGGCCATCTTTGGTTATTTGATATTGGTATTGTCAAGCTCCTGCAAATAATAGTAAATGTGCAAGGAGATGATTTGCAGTCTTTCTTGTTTCACTTTTTGAGCAAACAGTTTTATCAATTCAGGGCTGTTGAGTTTTTCATGTTCTGGGTACCAAAACTATTCAATATTGACCCCAAAAAATTCATTAATGAGTAGAGTGATAAGATAATTTTACATTGTCTAAGCAGCCTAAGGACACTGAGATCAAGGCTAAAGGAGAGCAGTTCAGGTCTATAATGAAAATGGATCAGCAGTTTTTGTGAAAACACTAAAGACAGAAAGGAAGGACTCTACTTTTTTAAAATTTTCTTTGGGAAGTCACCATTATATATTGTTATATCTGTTGTCGTATGCTGGGGCAGAAGTTAGCCAAGAGGTCTGAAATTACTCTTTGCCTATTTCTCAAAAGTCTATTTCCCCAGTGATGTAAGCAACAGCGCCCTAACTACTTATTACCTTAGAACTAGCGCTAAGATCATGGAACTTAGCTACAGGGACCCAGATCTAGATAGCAGCACTTTAGATCCTCAGCTTTGACCACAGAAACGTGCACTTTTTTGATGTTGTTGTTACCAACTCCTGTTTGAAAAATAGGACAAATTAAGAAAATGGATATCAAATCCTAAAATCTTTCCCACTAATTTTGTTAGTACATTCTCTACATGTTTGTTACTTGCTAGATTACCATTTACTTAGAAGATAAAATGTAGTTGAACATTTGGAAGGCTTCTCCTTTTATCTCCTCACAGTCTCTACAAACTAATCTTAATTTTGTTTTTCAGATTCTCTGTATTTGAGTAGACTTCTTTTCTTCTATCAAATACTAAAAGAAGTGTGTTGTGATTTTACAAATAATTGTGAATTTGTCTCCTTTAGAGCTACTAATTTTTGCTTTATATTTTTTGTCTTTGATTTTACATACAATTTAGAATTGTTATAATCTTCCTTGTTAATTGACACATTATCATTACTAGATGTTTATTTTTATCTCTAGTAATTTTTGCCTTAAATGTACTATGTCAGATACTAATATAATACACATACGGATTAAAAGCTAATGTAAATTAGTACTAACAACATTTCTGGACAAGGGGAGAAGTTATAACATTAATTTCATTTATTTGTCTCTCATATGGTATTGATGTTGTATATCTGGATTCTGTATATGGTGAACATAGCCAATCATTATTTGAGTCAATAGCCATTTAAATTAACCCACATATTTATCATTTTAATTACTGTTTTATTTTTCCTGTCCTTTAAGTTTTCCTCTAGAATTATTTTGCTTGTTACAAAGAACACCCTTTAGTATTACTTTTACTGTGAGTTTGCTGGTGACAAATTGTTCTTTGTTGGCAGTGTTTTATTTTGCCTTCATTTTTGAGGGATACTTTTACTGAATATAGAATTCTAAGTTGAAAGTTGTTTTCTGTTAGTATTTTGATGATATTTTATTTTGGTCTGTCTTTTATCGTTTTATTGAGAAGTAAGCTTTATATAATTACCTTTGCAGGCAATCTGCTTTTCTGTCTCCTTTGAAATTTATCTATTTGCCTTTGTTTTTTAACAGTTGCACATTGATATGCCTAGGTGTATTTATCTTCCTTGGGGTTTATAATATTTTTTAAATCTGTGGCTTAGTGGTTTTGGTGTGTGTGTGTGCGCATGTGCACACACGTGCATTTGGGGAAATTCCTAGCTATTATCGATTCAAATTATGCATCTGCCTCATTCTCTTTCTCTGTTTCTTTTAGGGATAGCCTTATTACCTAGATCTCCTGTTGGCCTGTTTTCTAATGGTTATTTTTCTTGAGTTTTGCTGATGTCCTGTGTCCTTATATGGTGATTTTTATATCACTTGCCAGACAATATATATTAAAATTGTAGAGGTAATAAGATGGTCTGGATAATATCTTCTTCCAGAGAGGATTTGCCATAGCTTCTAACATAGCTTCTTAGGCTAGGATCAGTAGTAATCCCTGATTGCCTTTATGCAGTCATGTATTAAGATTATTTGAAACTGGTCTTGAGTCTCTGGAAGACTCATCTTATTATATGTTCAGAATGTGAACATATAAACCTTATTTCTAGGATACTTTTAGGACTTAGGAGTTTGGCAGGTACGTCAGGCCCCTCCTCTTTGGAAAGACTTGAATTCTAGTATTTCTTCTTCGGTCACTTGAATTTGTCAAAAATTCTCTCCAGCCTCTCTTGCCCAGTATTTGCCTTCAGAATTAGCAAATACCTCTTGGTAATAAACAGTTTCAGACATTATGTCCCAAATTTCAGACATTATGTCTTATCTCCAATTTTATTCCTGCAATTTCTCATTGCCGTGGTAGCTTTCTTTATGCCTTCAGAAAATTAAATGTGTTTAATATTTTCATCCACCTTTTTTAGTTCTCAGAGGAAGTACTAGTCTGTACCACTTGCTCTGCCACTGGCAGATGTTTTCAATTTGTTGAGATAGCTATTTATATTTAAGAAGTATCAAGACCAAAACTATGTTTTCTTACTTTCCAAAATTACTGACTTGTAAATGAAAATGCTTAGATGTGCAGCATTACTTTTTCCAATCTTTTGTTGCTAAAAGTCTTAAGGCATTCACTCATTTGTTAAAACCTTTACAAACTTTGATACATAAGAGAAAATTACCTCTGGTGGTTTCAAATTTTATTTTGGTAGCTGCCAAATTTAGCAAATGGAAGAGATTCACTAAAAGCTTCTCAGATGTCTTTTTTAATACTATGGTTTTTCCTTTGTATAATTAATAGAAAATGGGGTTAATGAAGCCTGGTATAGAGTCCAGGGTTTGAAAAATTAACTTAGGAGGATTACCGAGATAGTGATTCTTAACCTTTATTCTCAAGCACATTTTAAAAAATAGAATGTTACACTCCCAAGAAAAAGAAAAAACTATAAAAGAGCTACTTGACCTTTTGTCAACAAAGTATTAATCTGTAGAGGAAAGAAAGACTTTCTTCTGTGGGATTTCTTGCATCTCAAGGGGCACTTGTGGACTGATTGAGGAATAAATGGTGGAAAACTGAGCGAATTAGGAGAACTAAATGTTAAGTAGAATTTAAAGGTCAGTATAGATTGGAGGCATGTGGAATATAGACTTTACTAGGGAGAACACTGTAGGTTTGTATCTCTTCTTTTTTTTTTTTTTTTTTTTTTTTTTGAGACAGAGTCTTGCTCTGTCACCCAGGCTGGAGTGCAATGGCACGCAATCTTGGCTCGCTGCAACCTCCACCTCCTAGGTTTGAGCGATTCTCATGCCTCAGCCTCCCAAGTAGCTGGGATTACAGGCATGCACCACCACGCCCAGCGAATTTTTGTATTTTTAGGAGAGACAGGGTTTCGCCATGTTGGCCAGGCTGGCCATCATGTTGGATGAAGTGATCCACCCACTTCATCCTCTCAAAGTTCTGGGATAACAGGCATGGCTCGGCCAGCCGTTATCTTTTTATGCCAGCACGCTATTATAGTTCATTTGTATTTACAACAAGCTATTTTAAGACAGTTTTACAGTTTAAATATTTTAATAAAAATGCATTTTATTCTATTTTATTAATTTTAATTTTTTTTTAGTGACAGGGTCTCACGCTGTCACCCCAGGTAGAGTTTAGTGGTATGATCATAGTTCACCACAGCCTTGAACTCCTTGGCTCAAGCAACCTTCCTGCCTTATCCTTCCAAGTAGCTCGGGCCATAGGCGTTTGTCAGTACACCTGGCTTTTTTTTTTGTTTTTCTTGAGACAGAGTTTCCGTTCTTGTTGGCCAGGCTGGAGTGCAATGGTGCAACCTTGGCTCACTGCAACCTCTGCCTCCCGGGTTCAGGCGATTCTCCTGCCTCAGCCTCCCAAGTAGCTGGGACTATAGGCATACGCCACTACACCCTGCTAATTTTTTTTTGTATTTTTAGCAGAGACAGGGTTTCACCATGTTGGTCAGGCTGGTCTCGAACTCCTGACCTCAGGTGATTCACCCGCCTCAGCCTCCCAAAGTGCTAGGATTACAGGTGTGAGCTACCGTGCCTGGCCCTTTTTTTTTTTTTTTTTTTTTTTTTTGGTAGAGATGAGGCCTCACTTTGCTTTGTTCCCCAGGCTGGTCTCAAACTCCTGGTTTCAAGCAGTCCTCCCACCTTGGCCTCCCAAGGTACTGGGATTACAGATGTGAGCCACTGCACCTAGCCAAAAATGCATTTTAAATTAATTTTTAAAAAGTGAATCATACTGTGTATTCAGAAAATAAAAGAAAACATACACTCAAACATTTACTTATGCATCAGATAATTCATAGGGGATAATAATTTTCTGTTTGTACTAAATGTGGGTAGGGTTTTCTTTACAAGTCATACTTCATTATATATCAGAAAATGAATGCTGGAGAGAAACTTTATGAATATGATGACTAGGAAGTCTTCCACTGAAAAGTTAGTGACGTGAACATAACTAAATTCACACATGAGAAAAAAATAATAATTCAAATTCCATCATACACTCAAAACACCATTTGGAGAACAAAGCCTGTAAGAACACTAACTGGAAAACACTTCACCTGCAATTTATCAGAAAGTTTCTACCAGAAGGAGACAACGTTAAGAGCAAATGTGGGAGTAGCTTCACACAGAAATCAGTTTTTAGTATTCTTCAGTATTTACACATGAGGGAAACTGTATTTCTTGAAAGTGAGAAAGCCTTTTCACAGAAGTCAGAACGAGTTTTAAATGACTCATACTACAGAGAAGCCCTGTGATTACTGTACATTATATATTGTATATGGAAAAATCTTTGTCCATGAGTCACACCTTACTGTATACCAGACAAGTAATTGATAAAAATACGTTTTGTAAGAATACATCATTTTATTAAATGCCATAACATTCAAGTAGAAAAGAAGCTCTATTTGGTACATTGGAAAAGGTCTTCCTATAGAAGCAGATTTCATAATAAATATAATTCATTTTGTTTACTGATTTAACTTTAAGCCCATGTCTCAAACCAGTGGAGAAAAACAGACCATGAAACACTTGCCTTTCTTTTTATTAAAATAGTTACATACACACATATGTATATATATATAAAACATGGCATAAATGTGACTTTATTTACTTTAGAGACTGTTTCAATCTGTTGCCCAGGCACCCAGGTGGGAGTCCAGTGGCACAATCCTGGCTCACTGCAGCCTCGACCCCCAGGCTCAAGTGATCCTCCTGCTTTAGCCTGTTGAGTAGCTGGGAGTACAGCCACACGCCACCACACCTGCTAATTTTTCTAGTTTTTGTAGAGATGAGGTCTTGCTGTGTTTCCCAGGTCAGTCTCAAACTCCTGGCCTCAAGCAGTCTTCCTGCCTAGCCTCCCAAAGTGCTGAGATTACCGGCGTGAGCCACCATGCCTGACCTAACTAACTTTTATAATGTATTTTATGTCTTCTTGATTTTTGTACTTCCATTCATAGCATTTCCAGGCACTCCAACAGTCTGTCAACAGATAATGCTAATCAACTTGATATTTTTCTCTATATTCACAATCACATACAGTCACATTAATATGTCATCTGTGTCATATATTAGTGTGTGTGACTTCATTGTCATACATAAGAGGGATTGTATACTCATTTTTGCACCTTTTACACTTAACGATTTTTAGCTAGCTGAAAAGACTCCATGGTGTGGACGTACCATAATATTTTGACCATACTGCCATTAGTTATTCACATTTTTTCATTAGGAGAAATAATCTTTTATAACTATACTTGAGAGATTATTGGACAAGGACAGTCATGCCCTTACCTACTGGAAATTATTTTTTTCTGTAGCATCTGCTTGTAGGAGTGGGACTGATCAAATGGTATGTGTTATTTTATTTTAACAGATGTTGCCAAATTTCTTTGTCCCAAGACTAGCTTTTTATGTTTCCAGTACTAGTGTATAAATGTACCTCTTTCCCCCTACTAAAAGTAGCTGTTACTCTTTTTTTGTTTTTTGAGACCAAGTCTTGCTTTATCGCCAGACTGGAGTGCAAAGGTGCAATTTTGGCTCACTGCAACCTCTGCCTCCCGGGTTCAAGCGATTCTCGTGCCTCAGCTTCCCAAGTGGCTGGGATTACAAGCTCCTGCAACCACTTCCGGCTAATTTTTGTATTTTTAGTAGAGATGGATGTTGGCCAGGATGGTCTCAAACTCCTGACCTCAAATGATCCACCTGCCTTGGCCTCCCAAAGTGCTGGGATTACAGGTGTGAGCCACTGTGCCCAGCTATGGTTACTCTTTAACCTTGAGAAATTTTACAAGTTCCAAGTGATAACTAATTATAATTTGTATATTAATATGCCTCTAAATGTGTCTTGGCCATTTGAATTTACTATTCTATAAATTGCCTTTACAAAGCATTTGTTTATACATTTCTCTTTTTGGATTGTTTATCTTATTAACTTAAAACAGCTTTTTATGTTAAAGGGAGTAACTCTTTTTTTAAAAAACATCTATTCCTTGTCTCGACTTTGCATATGATATTATCCCATTCACATAATTTTATTTGCTACATGTTTATATGTGTATTCTTTTACAGTTTCTGAATTTTTAATCTTAAGACTTAAGCTTCACATATAATATTTTAAAGTGGTCTTCTGGATAGTTTGTGTATCTTTTGGGAAATTTTTGGAAAATGTTGCTTTGCTGAACCAGCACGCAATCCCCAAACTCCTCTCTCATGGCTTACTTTATCTGTTGTTGTTGTTGTTGTTGTTTGTGAGACAGAGTCTCACTATGTCACCAGGCTGGAGTGCAGTGGTGCAATCTCGGCTCACTGCAACCTACGCCTCCCGGGTTCAAGTGATTCTCCTGCCTCAGCCTCCCAAGTAGCTGGGACTACAGGTGCCTGCCACCACGCCCGGCTAATTTTTTGTATTTTTAGTAGCAAAGGGGTTTCACCATGTTGGCCAGGATAGTCTCGATCTCTTGACCTTGTGATCTACCCGCCTCAGCCTCTCAAAGTGCTGAGATTATAGGCGTGAGCCACCGCGCCCGGTCTACTTTATCTTTTTTTTTTAATTTAACTTTTAAGTTCAGTGGTACATGTGCAGGTTTGTTACACAGGTAAACCCATATCATGGGTGCTTGTTGTACAGATTATTTCATCACCCAGAACCCATCAGTTATTTTTCCTGATCCTCTCCTTCCTCCCACTCTTCACTCTCCAATAGGCCCTGGTGTGTGTTGTTTCCCTGTTGTGTGTCCATGTGTTCTCATCACTTAGCTCCTATTCATAAGTGAGAACATGTAGTGTTTGGTTATAAGTGAGAATATGTGATGTTTGGTTTTCTGTTCCTGCATTAGTTTGCTAAGGATAATGGCCGTCAGCTCCATCCATATCCCTGCAAAGGACATGATCTCATTCTGTTTAATGGCTGCATAGTATTCCATGATGTATATGTACCACATTTTCTTTATACAGTCTACTATTGATGAGCATTTAGGTTGATTCCATGTCTTTGCTATTGTGAATAGTGCTGTAACCTCATCACCTTCTGAAACTGGTAGTGGCCAAATGACCTGCCTCAGCCCAAGAGAAGCAAAACACTGGTAGATGTATTCTGGGAAAACCTTTATTTCCTAAGAAAAGAGACCGACTTAGCTGTTACCATCAATTCCATCCCTCTTCCTGCCTTGTACATTATGCCACCAGCAGTGGTGATCTTTCAACCACCGGGGAAAGGCCAAAAGATTCACCAACACTGGTCCTGATGTTATTGACTCAAAAGTAGCAGCAACTTAACTACAGACTTTAGCTGTGTGATAAAAATAAACATGTTTGGCATAAACCATTCTATTTTATGTCTTTCTTATTGCACCCAAAACCATACCTAAACTTACTCAGGCAATGAAATTTATAAAATAATCCATCCTTTTCCTACTAAAATGAAAATATTTTAGAACATTAGTAAACTGAATACCTCACATAAACCCGAGTAAGGTAAAGAGATAAGAGCAAAATTATGTAAGATTTGTAATGAGTGAAAGGAGACATGGATATTGAATCAATTCGTAGGATCAGAAGAGAATACTAGAGTAAATGGGTGATTTCCTAGTAAGATACAACTGATCAAAATTAATAAAATAAAAAAAAAATAAGTTAAAAATATCGTTTTCAGAGTCATCATTTAAAATTTACCAGGACTATAGGAAAATATTTTTAAGGTAGTGCCCTTTCCTCAGGCATCCCATGTCCGCCGATTCCTCCTCCCTGGCCGCCGCATCCTTGGCTGGCGTCAGAAAACTGGCTACAAACTTCCTAGTACATAAGAAGATCTGGTTGGACAAGTTCAAATATGACGATGCAGAAAGGAGATTCTACGAGCAGATGAACGGACCTGTGGCCGGTGCCTCCGGCCAGGAGAACTGCGCCAGCGTGATCCTCCGTGACAGTGCGAGAGCCAGAGAGAACATCCCGAAATCCCTGGCCGGAAACTCAGGCCCCGAGGCCTCCAGCGGCCCCTGCGCAGACCACAGCGAGCTCATCGTCCGGATCTCCAGTCTGAAAGTGAAGAACCAGAGCCTGCGCGGCGTGGTACAGGAGCTGCAGCAGATCATCTCCAAGCTGGAGGCGCGGCTGAACGTGCTGGGGAAGAGCTCGCCTGGCCACTGGGCCACGGCCCCACAGACCCAGCACATGTCTTCCATGCGCCAAGTGGAGTCCCCGGCCAAGAAGCCAGCCACACCAGCAGGGGATGACGAGGATGATGCCATTGACATGTTTGGCAGCGACAATGAGAAGGGGGACAAGAAGGAGGCACAGCTGCGGGAGGAGCGGCTGCAGCAGTACGTGGAGAGGAAGGCCAAGAAGCCTGCACGGGTGGCCAAATCCTCCATCCTGCTCGATGTCAAGCCTTGGGATGATGAGATGGACATGGCTGGAGGCCTGTGTGCGCTCCATCCAGCTGGACGGGCTGGTCTGGGGGGCCTCCAAGCTGGTGCCCGTGGGCTACGGTATCTGGAAGCTACAGATTCAGTGTGTGGTGGAGGACAAGGTGGGGACAGACTTGCTGGAGGATGAGATCACCAAGTTTGAGGAACACATGCAAAGTGTCGATATCACAGCTTTCAACAAGATCTGAAGCCTGAGTGTGTGTGTGTGCGCGTGAGGCCCAGCCACGATTAAAGACTGAGACAGGCAAAAAAAAAAAAAAAGATTTTTAAGGTTACACGTAAATAATGAACTATAAAAGACAGAAATCATAATTTGTAATTTTCAAAATTAAAAACTCTTGTCCTTTGAAAGCACTTAAGGCGAGAAGGAAAGACTCAGAAGGGGAAGAAACAGTTGCAATAAATTTCTGACAAAAGATTTGTTTCCTGAAAATGTAAAGAAATGTATAACCGAATTGTAAAAGGACAACTTAATAAAAATGACAATATACTTCAACAGAGATAATTCATAAAATAAGATATGAAATGGTCAATAAGGCCAAGAAAGGATTTCAACATAAGCCACCAGGGAAATACAAATCAAAACCATAATGAGATACTTCTACACACTCATTAAAATTACTGAAATTAAAATGATTGACAGGACCAAGTGTGGGAAGATGTTGAGCAACTGGAACTCATGTGTGGCAGGTAGGGATGTAAAATGGCACAAAGACTTTGGAAAATACTTTGGCAAATTTTTAAAAAGTTAAACACATAGCTATCATACAACCCAACCATTCTACTCCAGTATTGAACCCAAGTGAAATGAAAACTTATGTCCAAACAAAGACTTGTACATGAATGTTGACAAGACCTTTATTCACAATAGCCTCAAACTGGAAACAACCTACATGTTTATCATCAAGTGAATAGACATAATGTGGTGTATCCATAACTAGAAAACTACTCAGCAATAAAAAGGAACAGACTAATGATAAATGTAACAATATGGATGAATTTCAGTCATTTTGAGTAAAAGATGCCAGACATGAAAGAGTGTTATGTACTATATGGTTGTATTTATATAAAATTCTAGAAATACTAACTAACAGTGAAGTAACAAAATTCAGATTAGCAGTTGCCTGAAGCTAGGGCCAGAGACAGGGATGGCCAGCAAAGAGGTACAAGGAATCTTTTTGAGTTGATAAAAATGTTCTGTATTTTTATTGTGTTGGTAGTTTCATGGGTGCACACACTGTTAAAATGAACACTAAATAGGTACAATTATTGTATGTAAATAATATCTTGCTAAAGTTGATTTTTTAAAATACAGAAGATAAGCAGATAGATCCATATCTGAATGTAGTTCATATTTAAAGATCAGATCATTTTATTAATTGAAATCATTTCAAGTTATAGAGAAATATATACCAATATTTTATTTCTTGTAATTGCTTCATTGCAACTTTAAAATACATCATTACTCTTAGACCATCATAGTAAGTACAGGAAGAAAAAAACAAGAAATTATTGACTTGGGTCATTTATCACCACAGATGCAAAAATTCTAAATAACATTGTGGTGAATACAATATTTAAGTATATTTGAAAATTAGTAATGATTTTAATTCTTAAATTCGAAAGTGATAGACTATCAAGAAATTGAGGTTGGCCAGGCGTGGTGGCTCACGCCTGTAATCCCAGCACTTTGGGAGGCCGAGGCGGGCAGATCATGAGGTCAAGAGATTGAGACCATCCTGGCTAACACAGTGAAACCCCGTCTCTACTAAGAATACAAAAAATTAGCCGGGCGTGGTGGCAGACACCTGTAGTCCCAGCTACTCGGGAGGCTGAGGCAGGAGAATGGCATGAATCTGGGAAGCGGAGCTTGCAGTGAGCCAAGACTGTGCCACTGCACTCCAGCCTGGGCAACAGAGCGAGACTCCATCTCAAAAAAAAAAAAAAAAAAAAAAAAAAAAAAAACAATAAATTGAAATAATTTACTACTGTAAATTAAAAGAGAAGGTAATATATTTATATCAGTAATTACTGAAAGGTATTTTATTAATTCAGCATTCTTAATAAAATAGGCATGGTAGAAAACTACTTAAATATTATTTAAATGCAACAGCAAAATTTTTGAATTTTTTTAAATTGATGAATGACATTTGCACATATTTATGGGGAACATGTGATACTTTGTTACATACATAGAATGTATAATGATAAAGTCAGGATATTTATGAAGTCCCTCACCTTGAATATTTATCATTTCTATGTATCGGGAACATATTAATACATGTTCTCTTCCAACAATTTTGAAATATACAATAAATTGTTGTTAAATATAGTTGCTCTACTCTGCCATGGAATATTAGAACTTATTCCTTCTAACTATATGTTTGCACTCATTAAACAATCTCCCTTCATACCTCCCCCAACCTGCACATCCTTCACATTCTCTAGTATCTCTAATTCACTCTCTACTTCATGAGATCCACTTTTTTAGCTCCTACATATGAGTGAGTATATGTGATATTTGTCTTTCTGTGTCTGACTTATTTTACTTAACATAATGACCTGTAGTTGCATTCATGTTGCTGCAAATGGCATGATTTCATTCTTTCTTATGGCCAAATAGTATTTCGTGGTAAATATATACATTTTATTTATCCATTTATCCATTGATGGACACTTAGGTTGACTCCATATCTTTGCTACTGTGAGTAGTGCTACAATAAACATGAGGATGCAGGCATCCTTTTGATATGCTGATTTCTTTTCCTTTGAATAAAACACCATTAGTGAAACTGCAGGATGAGGGAGTCTGTCTTGCAGACCCTGACCCAAAGACAGATGAATAAAGTACACTGACACACAGATATTCTGCTTTGCTACTTCAGCCTAACGTCCAGGCCACTTAGTCGCAGCCGTGGCCTTTATCAGTTAGCAAGACTTGCATTTATTCAGTAAAGATTAATTGACAAAGGTCGTGAGTAAACACCACTAGAGGGTAAATGACATTGTGGACTTCCTGAATAGAAAGCAATTAAGCACCCTCAGTAGATCAAAGGTCAGTCTTAGGACCACATGAGTAAACAAGCTAGTTAGGTAAACTACTCTACCTTCCTTTGTACCCACTTTAAGCTATTTACTCAAGGTATGGATTAGGTTGCCTTCAGTCATAGCCTTATCCTGAGACTTCTGCAAAAACCTTCAGGCCTTCCAAGAAGGTTTGTGGCTTATAATTTTCCCCACTGTCCTGATTAAACCCCTATAGCAGGACCGAATGTTAATTCTATTTTAGTTTACTATAGAAATCATGTTGTTTTCCTTAGTAGCTGTACTAATTTACACTGCCACCAACAGTATAAAGAGTTTCTTTTTCTTTTTTTTTATATTTATTTATTTTTTTTAAAATTTATTTATTATTATTATACTTTAAGTTGTAGGGTACATGTGCATAACGTGCAGGTTTGTTACATATGTATACTTGTGCCATGTTGCTGTGCTGCACCCATCAACTCGTCATTTACATCAGGTATAACTCCCAATGCAATCCCTCCCCCCTCCCCCCTCCCCATGATAGGCCCCGGTGTGTGATGTTCCCCTTCCTGAGTCCAAGTGATCTCATTGTTCAGTTCCCACCTATGAGTGAGAACATGCGGTGTTTGGTTTTCTGTTCTTGTGATAGTTTGCTAAGAATGATGGTTTCCAGCTGCATCCATGTCCCTACAAAGGACACGAACTCATCCTTTTTTATGGCTGCATAGTATTCCATGGTGTATATGTGCCACATTTTCTTAATCCAATCTGTCACTGATGGACATTTGGGTTGATTCCAAGTCTTTGCTATTGTGAATAGTGCTGCAATAAACATACATGTGCATGTGTCTTTATAGCAGCATAGTTTATAATCCTTTGGGTATATCCCCAGTAATGGGATGGCTGGGTCATATGGTACATCTAGTTCTAGATCCTTGAGGAATCACCATACTGTTTTCCATAATGGTTGAACTAGTTTACAATCCCACCAACAGTGTAAAAGTGTTCCTATTTCTCCACATCCTCTCCAACACCTGTTGTTTCCTGACTTTTTAATGATCGCCATTCTAACTGGTGTGAGATGGTATCTCATTGTGGTTTTGATTTGCATTTCTCTGATGGCCAGTGATGATGAGCATTTTTTCATGTGTCTGTTGGCTGTATGAATGTCTTCTTTTGAGAAATGTCTGTTCATATCCTTTGCCCACTTTTTGATGGGGTTGTTTGTTTTTTTCTTGTAAATTTGTTTGAGTTCTTTGTAGGTTCTGGATATTAGCCCTTTGTCAGATGAGTAGATTGCAAAAATTTTCTCCCATTCTGTAGGTTGCCTGTTCACTCTGATGGTAGTTTCTTTTGCTGTGCAGAAGCTCTTTAGTTTAATTAGATCCCATTTGTCAATTTTGGCTTTTGCTGCTGTTGCTCTTGGTGTTTTAGACATGAAGTCTTTGCCCATGCCTATGTCCTGAATGGTACTACCTAGGTTTTCCTCTAGGATTTTTATGGTATTAGGTCTAACATTTAAGTCTCTAATCCATCTTGAATTAATTTTCGTATAAGGAGTAAGGAAAGGATCCAGTTTCAGCTTTCTACTTATGGCTAGCCAATTTTCCCAGCACCATTTATTAAATAGGGAATCCTTTCCCCATTTCTTGTTTCTCTCAGGTTTGTCAAAGATCAGATGGCTGTAGATGTGTGGTATTATTTCTGAGGACTCTGTTCTGTTCCATTGATCTATATCTCTGTTTTGGTACCAGTACCATGCTGTTTTGGTTACTGTAGCCTTGTAGTATAGTTTGAAGTCAGGTAGCGTGATGCCTCCAGCTTTGTTCTTTTGACTTAGGATTGTCTTGGAGATGCGGGCTCTTTTTTGGTTCCATATGAACTTTAAAGCAGTTTTTTCCAATTCTGTGAAGAAACACATTGGTAGCTTGATGGGGATGGCATTGAATCTATAAATTACCTTGGGCAGTATGGCCATTTTCACGATATTGATTCTTCCTATCCATGAGCATGGTATGTTCTTCCATTTGTTTGTGTCCTCTTTGATTTCACTGAGCAGTGGTTTGTAGTTCTCCTTGAAGAGGTCCTTTACATCCCTTGTAAGTTGGATTCCTAGGTATTTTATTCTCTTTGAAGCAATTGTGAATGGAAGTTCATTCCTGATTTGGCTCTCTGTTTGTCTGTTACTGGTGTATAAGAATGCTTGTGATTTTTGCACATTAATTTTGTATCCT